ACGTGTCGTGCTTCAGCCGAGACGCCTGAAACTCAAGTGAAACCTCTCCAGGTCCGGGGTACGGAGGGATGTTGTCTTTGTAGAGGTACTTCTTGTACAAATGAGTATCTTGAGCTTCCAGTTTCAAATCATTCAGCTTTAAATGCCTCGCTTTATAATGTTCTTTGATGTTTCCTTGTCTCTGCATGATCCGATTTGGATGATGTCGATCAGAAAGACCGTCCAGACCGTCAGTGTCACTCTGCTGATGAGCAGCTCCGAGATCTGACAGCTCAGTATATGTCAGGCAGTGTCATCGGCTGCTTATCTGGAAATAAAAGTTCATCTTTGAACACACACACAATATGGGTGATAGGGGTGATTACAAATTATAGGAACTCACTCAGGAGCTGCTGGATCCAGAAGACAGATGTTGATGATTAGGCTGAAGATTTTCCTCTTTGATAAAGCTGGAAACACAGACAGTATGATAAGAAATGAAGTGTGGTGTGTGTGTTCAGATGTTGTAGTTGAGGTGTCGATTGGCTTAAGTAGTCTACCATTCACACACATTCACACTTCAGTGGATGCATCAGAGAGCAACATTGTCTTAGTGCCCGAGGATATTTGGCATGCAGCCTGGGATCGAACCACTGACCTTCTTTAAGGGATGAGGAGGTGTGCTTACGAACTCTTACCACCCACAGTTCAGAGTCTATCTGCGGATAGACGTTCACAGCCCGAGGTCGATGAGCTCTGAGGCACGTTTTGGATCGACCTTTTTGAAAGACCATCTTCTATTTCAATCGCCTATAACAGAGTCTGTGAATTTACTGATGTTACGATCAGCTGCATTCTCAAATATCTGCCAGTCAGTTGTCTCAAAGCAGGCCTGTGAGACCCCCTCAGCCTCACTGTCCCGTTTGTAAATGACCCTGGAAACTGTTTTGTCCTGTTTAAGCCTTTGTCTGTATGCAGGCAGCAGCAGTATGGGACGTCTGCCTTTCCAAAGCTGGACGGGGGAGGGGTTTGTAGCAGTGATCCAGTGTTTGATCCCCTCTTGTAGGGAAGTTTCTTCATGTTGGCTCTGTTAAAGTCTCCCGACACAATAAAGGCAGCTTCAGGATTTTTGTAATCAAGTCATCTAATGACGTCATACAGGATGTAAACAGCTGAAGGAGAGTTTAACTGAAGGTCAGCAGCTGGAGGGTCTGAGAGCAGTGCGTTTTTAAGATACACACATCCACAGCCCACAAAGACGTAACCGTGGAGCGCACGCCTCCTCCCCTTTTCGTGCCTGAGGTCTTCGTTCTGTCCCCCGGTACAGTCGGGGACGCCGGGCTGCAGCCATGTCTCAACCTGATGTTCTGTTTAACACGCAGCTCGTCCCGTTTGTTGTCCAGAGACTGAACGTTTGCAGCAGGACGCTGCAGAGGTGTCTTCAGTACCACGATGTCGAAACTGGCTGATGAACGTGATCGAGCCGTACGCACAGAAAGAGGAAGTAGCGACAAATAAATAATAAAGTTTTGCTGAGATGACGCGGAGCTCTCTGCTCACTCAAGTCCAAACATTTTATTACAAGTTCATCCCGACAGGCCTTTCACTGCATGTGATCTCGTAGCTCAAAGTAATGAATGTTGTTTAATTACACATCAGAAAGTCCTTGTTACAAACGCGCTGTTACATTGTTACCAGTTAACAGTGTAAACCTGAGGCTACACACCAACGACCCCACTAAAGCTTTCCTTCAGTATTATCACTGTCAGCTCACCTGCGCTCTGCTCCTTTTCAAACCAAAAGTACTGTCCGCGTCTCCTCAACTTCTGTAACCAGCTCCACCTTTTTACTGCCTCCGCCTCCTCCGGAAATCAGCTGTGTCCTCTTTCTGTCCGCAGATCATCCTGCAAATAACCGCCGAGACTTTCTAACGACATACAGATACCTGTGGTAAAAAAATACTCCAGTAAAAGTACTGAAGCAACTTTTTTACTCAAGTAAAAGTGAAAAAGTACAGAAATGTAAGTAAGAAAGTAAAAAAAGTTGAAGGGCGATTCGACCCAGCGGCCTGTTTGGTGCCCTGGACGAACACTGTTCTGTGATTTGACACATGTTTGTTGAGCTGATAGAAACGTTTCTTTATGCTTCTTCTGCTCGAAGCTGATCCCACAGACAGACACGGCCCTGCTCCCAGTGCCGATAAACTGCGTCATTGTAGCTAAAGATAAAGAACAAAAGTCTGTTTGATTCCAGTTTCTTGTGATGTGAATGTTTGTGTCTCAATTCTTTTATATCATTCATGAGGGATACATCTGAGATGTGGTTCACATATCATAGGCCAACAAGTTACTTATAGCAGCTTACATAATAGAAATCAAACCAAGCCCCACTTTAACATAGAAATGATACTGCTGAGCCCAAAGAGACGAGTTTTGATAATGTAAGGAGTAGAAAGTAAAAAGTAGTCCAACAAATAAATACTTAAGTAAAGATACCTGAAAATTCTACTTAAGTACAGTAATAAAGTATTTGTACTTCATTACTTCCCACCTCTGACCCCTACATGGCTCTTTGATACACACAACACAACATCAGTTATTGTGTTGGCACCTTTAAAAAAACCCTCTGAGCACAGCAGACGTCCTCCTTCTTCTTCTCTGGAGTTAACGAGGCAGTGACAGTAAGAACCAACAGGTCCAGAGTCTCACGGAGTTCGTTTATCTCTCATCGTGCTGCTTTGGAGGCTGGTGGATGTTTGCATTGATCTCTTGGGTGGAGCGTCATTCGACTACCCGCCTTTCCG